GGCTTTTTTCTTTTTGCTTATGTGGTGCTGAGGAATCGAATCCAGGGCCTCGAGCATGCAAGGCAAGCGCTCTACCACTGAGCCACCTTCCCAGCCCCGGTTCCTCCATTTCTTAAACAAGAGCCTACTGAGCACTTCCCAGCTACTACCCTGGCTACTGTTTGCACAGAGCTGGTATCATGTGGGCAGCTACCTCTGAACAGCCCTTTGTTGCCCTAGGAAATGGTTTTCTAGCAGTTTTCTCTCTGTGATTGCCTATGTTAGTGTATCTGTCACTACCAAATGTAATTATTGGAAGTTACCCCCAAGGTGATGGCGTTAGTAAGTGGTACCTTTCCCTCTCCCCCCTCCCTCTTCCTGGGGCTTGAACTCAGGGCACTGTCTCTGAGCCTCTCTGTGCTCAAGGCTAGCACTCTACTACTTAAGCCACAGCACCACTTCTGGCTTATTCTGTGTATGTGGTATTGAGGAATCAAACCCAGGACTTCATGCATGCTAGGCACATTACCACTAAGCCACACTCCCAGCCCCTTTTTAAAAATTCTAATTATACAGGTGATGTACAAAGGGGTTACAGTTACATAAGTCAGGTAAAGAGTGCATTTCTTTTTGGACAATGTCACCCCTTCCCTTGCTCTGTTTTTCCCTCCCATCCCTACCCGCAAGTTGTATAGTTCATTTTCAACATAGTGTACAGTGAGTACCAATGCTGCATTTGTTCACCCTTGGTCCCTTTATTTCTGGGCCCTCTCTTACCCTCCCAAAGACAGCTAAACCAACAAAGAATACAGAAAGAAAAGAAAACGACAGAAAAGAAAACAAAAACAAGCAACAAAGAATAAAAGCTTCCATTTCCTAAAGTTTATTTCAGTTAATATTATTTTAGATGATCAGATGTACGAAGGAAGTGATACCTTTGAGAAATGATTTGATTATGGGGTACAGTCCTTAGGAGCAGGATTAGGCTCTATAAAAGAGGCCTACAGCTGGGTACCAGTGATTTACCCTTGTAATCCTAGCTATTCAAGAGGCTGAGATTGTAGGATCACGGTTCAAAGCCAGCTCAGGCAGGAAAGTCTGTGAGACTCTTATCTCCAATTAACCACCAGAAAACTGGCAGTGGTTCTGTGGTTCAAGTGGTAGAGCACTTGCCTTGAAGAGCTGAGGGACAGTGCCCAGGCCCATAGTTCAAGCCCCAGGACCAACCAGAGGGGGTGGGGGGGGGAGTTCAGGGACAGTGCCCAGATCCTGAGTTCTAGCTATTCAAGAAGCTGACGTCCAGAGGCTTGTGGTGTTTTGTTTGTTCTGTGCTAGTGCTAGGGCTTGAATTTAGGATTCTCTTGCACTATTGCTGCGTAGCTTTGATGTGCAAAGCTGGCATTCTACCACATGAGTTAAACCTCCACTTCCAGCTTTTGCTGGTTAGTTAGAAATAAAAATCTTAGCCAGGTATCAGTGGCTCATGCCTATACCTAGCTACTCAGGAGGCTGAGATCTGAGGATCGCAGTTCAAAGCCAGCCTGGGCAGGAAACTCCATGAGACTCATCTCCAGTAAACCACCAGAAAACTGGAAGTGGCGCCGGGGCTCAAGTGGTAGCATGCTCAACTTGAGCTGAAGAGCTGAGGGACAGTGCCCAGGGCCCAGAGTTCAAGCCCCATAACCAACCAAAAAAAGAAAAGAGAAAGGAAAATCTTATGAACTTTGTCACCTGGGCTGGCTTCAAACCTCAATCTTCAGAGCTCAGTCTCCTGAGTAGCTAGGATTACAGGAGTGAGCCACCGGTGTTGGATTGTAGTTAGAAGCCAACTCAGGCAGAGAAGCATATGAGACTCCATTTCCAAAGTAACCAACAAAAAGCCAGTCAGGAGGCATGGCTCAAATGGTAGAATGCCAGCTGAGCAAGGGCTAGGCCCTGAGTTCAAACCCTGACACCACCAAAGAGGCCCCAGAGGAGCCCTTTGGCCCCTTTTACCATGCGAAGACAGAGAATGTGACCTGCATCCTGGAATAGAGCTCTCAGTGGTTCAACCATGCTGTCCCACTGATCTTGGACTCCAGCCTCCAGAACTGAGGGAGTTGCCATCGTTTGCAAGCTACCTGGTTTATGGCAATTTGTTACAGCAGCATAAAGGGACTAAGACTGTTTTTTTTTTTTTTGCCATTGCTTCCGTTTCTTTCGTTAGCTCTTTTTTTGCTCTTCCATGAGTATTACACTGCCTTCCACTGTCTCCTTACTCAATCACACCCCAGCTATTGGTCTCCAGAATCTTCCTGGGGAGTCCCCAGTGGTCCAGAGACTATGTTCTCTGCTCCCCTAACTTGCCTCCAGGTGTATAGCTTTCAGGACTTGGAAGAATAAAAGCTCAGACCAGAAGGCTCCTCAGAGACTAGTCTCTTGTTTTGTGCCAGTCCTGGGGCTTGAACTCAGAGCCTG